TGCGCGATTTTAAGTGTTCACATTGAGATTTCGTAAATGTCCCGGAGGGGTGAAAATTTTGAAAAGTTCCGGGAGTTCTGGCAGGAGTTCTGAATAGCACCTCACGAGTTCTAAAAGATATTTTAATAAAGTTTTTAGATACGTGCATTCGTTTAATAGTTATTGCAAATTTTGTGATCTCGTTTTGTGAACTTAGCACCCCAAAAAGTCGATATCGATGTTTTTGCCTATTTTTGCGGAACTTTTAATAAAAATGGTAGAGAACCATAGAACTCAATGGGGTGCAATGGGAACTCAAGAAAAATTTGAAGTTTTAAAAAATGAGGTGCTATCTTCACTGACGCAATTCTCACCACTTTTTAAACAAATTATAAGCTTTCCAATGAAAGAAACGATTTCAAAATATCTTTTAGTTTTTGAGATATTCATTTTTAAACATAACAAGGAAGTTACTCATTTTTCGAGATAAACAATTATTTTCAGTTATTCGCAGAAAATCATAACAAATCGACGTTTTAATAAATCATTATGAAATTTTTAGCACTTGTTATACAATTTATAACCTTTCAACTGTTTAAAGAAGATCAATCTAAATTAGAGTTGATTCAGAGTTCAAATAGAAGAATGAAAATACAACAGATTGAAATGGAAGATACTTCTAAAGCTCCTTTGCTCAACTTAGATTAAGTACCGAAAATTGTGCCATCCTCACCCTGATATTTTAGAATCATAAAAATCGGGTTTATTCACGAAACAAAGCATGTAACTAAGGTTGAAATCATATATTGAGAAAATCAAATAAAAAGTCTACAAAACATATAGTATCTTTAAAAAGGAGCCTTGAAGATCTTGAAATTAAGTGAAAACTATTATTTACCATAGTCGATGGGAAAGTGTGCAATTCCGCAACTAATACAACATCTTCAATGCGGAATAACTCTTAAATTATCTCTTAAAAACATTCCAAATCATGGTTTAGGAAATATTAATGTCAAATTCGGCTAAATAAAAGATTTTTCTAATACCGTAAATGCAATAACAAAAAGGTTTTGGGAAAACGTATGAGAATTTGGCACAGATATGTTTTTGTGAATTAGCGACTATTTTATTAGACTCAAATGTTAGGTTGCACCTGTAATTGTGCAAAAAAGGTTCAGATGAATCACCCACAATGAAACTCTTTCAATCGCGTTGTCATTGCTGCTATTAATTAACATTCTCTTCTCTTTAATTTACGTTTTAATGTTGTGTTTGATGCAGCATTAAATTTGAAACTAACACAAAAAATAAGAGAAACAATAAAAATATTTATTTTAAACAAAGAAATGCGTTTCGGTACTTAAGAAACAAAGAAAGAAACCACAAGAGCATTTTATTGCGTTTGACAATACCAAAAGATTATTCTTGCGGCTTAGCACGTGCGTTCCTCGTGAACGCGCGAAGGCAAAACGCCTGTTGTTCCTTAATAGGACATCATCAGCTGGTTTGCTTGTTGGTTACGCAACGAGCAGCAATCGTCGACCACCATCCAGCCAATAAGTATACTAAGAAGAAAGGTCGTCGTGATCAAAGACTTTCTTCGCTGTTCTTATTAGAAAGCACACAGATTCGCAAGCTTTTCATTATATAAAGACGAGTTTTTGCGCGTCGATATCCAAATGCGCAAAATGTGATGACCATGACAGGTAAATTATAGAGAAAACGGCCGAGAAGATTGCTTAAAACTCGGTTAAAGAAGGTTATAGTCTTCATTGCGAGCACGAGGCGCCTCGTGACGTTGATAGATGGCGCCAGGTCCGCGAAGATCCGGTCTGACGAAGAACGGAGAAGAAGAAGAAGAAGAAAGGAAAAGCAGAAGAAAAGATGTTGCCGTCTATAAATAGTACGGTAAAGTTGTTTGCTGGCCTGCATATTCTATAAATACTTGGATGAGAATTAAAATGAGAGCAACGGAAACGCTTCAAACGGAACGGTTCTTCTAAAAAGGGAAATCGACACAAAATTATTATAATAACAAGGTGAATCTGAATGAAATTCGGTCTTCCATCGAATAAACTAATAATAATAATAATTCTTAACGGAAAAGTTAGCTTGGTGGAAGAGAAAGGTAGATATCCATCGAAATAACTACGGACTTTAATTATGGCTTTGAAACGACTACGTTCTCGAATTGCGTAACATCTAACGGATATAATAACCACCAATTCGCGACGATTTGATCTGTCTTGCCATAGCGAGAATACAGATTCGTGCAAACAACACAACACTTTTTAATCTCGTTTTTTTTTATATAATCATACATAGAGTTACTAAATGGATAGGTTTCCCACAATGGCAAGGTTACATTTATTTCGATCTCTCACGCGAAATATGAAATATTAGAGGAAATTTATTTTTCAATCAAAATCACCGTATAATCAATTCACTTTTTTTCTGCTTTTACTACGAAACAATTTATGAGTTCCACGAACTTAATAATTGTTTATGTAATAGCTCTTTGTTATAATTAGTTTCTCATTAAATAATATTTTTTTAATACATTTCAATGATAATATTAAACTGAAAATTGATATTTCGATTTTCAGCTTAATATAATCCTAATTAATTATTGATGATAATTTCGTGAATTTGTTTTCGAGAAATCGGCTCTTTATATAATTCTAAACTTAAGTTGGGAAAAGTTAAAAATTATTAGAATCGCATTGAGTTTAAAAACGTATATCTCAAGATGTAAAATTAATTTTCCAAAACGGATTTCACCGATGAGAAGTAGACACCAAGTTTGATATATGCTGAAAAGTACAAAGCAATTTTCCAATGGATTTTTTCAAGACGGCTAAACCCGAATGATTCTAGGTCTAGGTCTTGTGTTAGTTCTAGTGATAGTGCTGATTCTAGTTCTAGGTCTAGTGGTAGTTCTAGTTTTAGTTCAATAAAACTTACTTTTGTATAACTTTTGTATATTGCATTTTAAATAAAATTCACTGCAGACACCAGAATATCGTATTTATGTAATATGATTTATTGATAAAGCACTTATCATTACAATGTAATCGAATAAGGAAGCATCATAAAGTAACCAATACCAAAGCAATTTGTTATTGTTTTTCAGATAATAATGTTTATAACGAGTAAAATTAAATTAACGATGAGGTTACAAGGAAGGTTACCTAAGTTTATTTTTTTAATTTAATGGTTTCCTACTCAAAGACAAATATTAATTAAACATCTTACATCATCAATAAATACTATAATAACTAACCTTTCTTTTAAATGTTTTTACGCAGTTCAAACCGTTAATTTGCATCAGGAATTGTCATTTTTTGTTAATAAAATATTTAAGTCAGGGTTTCCATAATTATCAAGATTGAAGAAAGGTTTTATTTCGTTGTATCAAGTATTGAGAAATGCGGGGAACATCCTCAATAAAAATTGTGATTTATGTAAATTTATGTAAATAGATTCCAATCTTCCGAGATGTTATAGGCATTTCCTAAAATTTTATGAAAAGAATTGATTGACGCAAATAATTTTCACGAAAATTTGTCTTAACCTTGATATCGAAATTTATTTTTTTTAATACATCGGCGACATTCGATCACATTTTTCATGCAAATCGCGCGTTGGATTGCGTAGGTACTTTATGGATCGAATTTAATTTGCTGCAACTAGTTGGGTTAAAAATAAAAATACTAAAAAAAATACAGTATTAACAGAGTTAAGTAACCCATAAAATATTTATTTGGGTCGGTTGTCTTTAAAAATAATAAACGACTTGCATGCTAAACGGATGCAAATAAACGATAAAAAATATATCGACTTAATGTCCGATACGAAAACCCAAACATAAAATTATTTATTTATAAATAAATCGTTACGGAGTTTTCTTTAAATTAATTGTTGCGGTTGACTACGAAACAAAAAAGAATGCTCCGTTTGCATTTCTTTTTGCTTCGGTAATTTTTTGGTCGATGATCAGAGTTGTTGCTTAAGAAAGTGAATATCGAGGTCAGAATAATTGTTAATAATAAACTTTTTATAAAGTTGCTTACTTTGACTTGCAATACGAATAATTTACAATCATCGAACATAAAATTAAAATATGGTTGCGAACCCACCCTCGCTAAAGAATACCAAGTAGTGAACGATTACAAAATAGTAAGGCGCTGTACAAATCGCTCCGTGAATTATAAATAATTAATGGCCCGAAAGCCCATTGAGGTGTGATCATAAACGCAATTAAAGGTTAATTATAAGATGGGTTAATTAGGTTAATTCCCATTCTGTTGCATTAGAAACACCATTAAATCGTCATTAGGATTTCCGTGGTTACATCATAATTTTATTTTATTGTGATGATTTTTTAAAAAATTCTCAACTATATTGCATTTATTATTATTAATTAAAAATCCGTCCATTCAGGTAAGTGCAATAATGTTTATTAACAAACACGTTTTATAGCGAATAAAAACAGTTATTAAAATTAATAAGATGAATAACTCACCAGAAAATGGTTTCAATTAAGATGAAAACGATTCAGTATCTACCCGGATCCTTCCCCCTCAAAAATAGTTTTCTTCTTTTGAGAAATGAATGATGTCCTCCTTTTTCTTGATCGCGTTCTTCCGCGGATTCCGTACGCGGTTCACCCTCGTTTCGCACCCCGTTTCGACTCCGTTCACAAAATATCCGACCCAGTTTGATCTGTACCGAAACTTATTGTTTTCTAAAATAAATTAGTTGTTGTTTTTGTTTTTAATTTGTCGAAAAAACTTTAATAAAGGTTCGTGGTTTCTTTAATAAAGGGAGCGTTCAAAAAACAGCTTGCGTTCGCGTAGAGTTCTTCGAGCGTAACTGGTGTTGGTAAAGAGATACTCGTTACCGCAGGCTGTTCGCTGTTGGTCTGTCTCTGTGTGTCGACTATACAAGAACTCTCCCCCACGACTCTCTCGACGGACGAACGGACGGACGGTGTGCTGTATAACGGAGGTGCTTTGCAACCGTCTTCTTGGTGCTTTGATATGATAACGTAAACTGGCCACTGGAATCGGTCGGGCGCAGTTATTATCTTGCTCGAGCGTCGACGTCACCGGCACGCACGTCGATTTATTATTTTTAATTTTTAGACGACGGCTGACCGTATCTGTATGCATGTAGAAACGAGTGGGACGGCACACATACTTTAGTTCAGATAAATGGCGTTCCAATGTGATTTATACCAGTATTGTTCTTCTGGGCAGGTGTTTATGACAAGATTCTAACTTCTGAACAGGTGTCACTTGAAGATTCGTACACTACATGAAATTTTAATGAATAAAATTTAAATCTTTGAAAAATTCTTAAGACTGCTTTTGCTGCCGACACTTTAAAATTGTTTATACTTTAGCAATTCTGCTTATATATAGTAATTATGTATACAAATTTTAAATATTTTAGGTTCATAAATTTACGAAAACTGTGAATTTGTGATTAACACCAAAAATATATGAAATATACAGGGTGTCTCACGTAACTGGTTCGTTAGAACTTTTTTAGGATCCACTATTCGTAGAGGTTTGAAATTTTGGTAGCATGGGTTGTTCATTCTAAACTTTCAATCTAAAATATTTTCAAGATAGCCACCACTTCCGATCTACCGGAAATAGACCACAACTTTGTTATTTTAAATGGAATGCTATCGTTTTTATTACACCTTTCAATTATACATAAAAAAATATGTTGACTTTGATAAAAGTTGTTGGTACCTAGCATTTTTTGTTTTCAAGTTATTTTGATTTGAAGCTTTTTTGGCAAATTTTACCATGCTCTTTAAAAGCCCATATCTCAGTTAACGTTCATTAAAAAAACCTCTAAATTGGCACGATTACTCTTCAGATGTTGCCAAATAGATTGTCATTTCTTGTATCAGAGTATCTTATACAGGGTGGTCAAAAATTGAATTACCGTTTCTCCATATTCAATGGCTAGAAAGTCGAAAATTTTAAATGGAATACCCCGTATTTTTTTACCCTATCAGAAAGGGAATTTAATTCTCTACAAATTATCTATAAACATTCCTATACCTATTTATTGTAGTTTCCCTGATATTGGGACATTAATCAAAGCATGCACGGAATGCGGGAAAACGTTTGATTTTTTTATTAGAAGGCAATGGAATTTTGACAGTTTTTGGTCCATATTTGTGTTATTGTTGTTGTTACTTACTTTTGATCACGAGTGAAAGTCATTGTATATCATGGCAAATTATTCCAACGCCGATATTTTAAATTTGTTTTATATTCATGGCAATGGCCTCCACGATCTCCAGATTTAACACCATTGGATTTTTATTTGTGGGGTCACTTAAAAAATCAAGTGTACAATTCACCGATCAACACACGACAAGAGTTGCGTGATAGAGTGATGCGTGCACTACGTACTATTGATGGCGACCAACTTCTACGGGCCACAACCGTAGAAGTCGAAAGAAGAGTTGAAAAATGTTTAATGGTGAATGGTCAGCATATCGAACAGTTTTAATTTTTTTATAATTTTAAGTTTTTGTTTTTTTATATGTTATTCATTCTAATTTCTGTTATTAAATTGTTGTTTTTCATTGTTTCATTTATTCGTTTTTCTGTTGGTTATTTTTGGTAAATAAAAGCGAGCAAGCTAAAGGTTATTCAACCATAGTTAATTGTAGAAATAATACCAATAATAATTTAAATAAATTAAACGATGAACTGTCAAAATGTCTTGGCCTGCTAACAAAAACACAAACGGGCTTTGGGATTTTATGTCTGATTTTGATTAATTTTCCAATATCAGGGAAACTACAATAAATAGGTATAGGAATGTTTATAGATAATTTGTAGAGAATTAAATTCCCTTTCTGATAGGGTAAAGAAATATGGGGTGTTCCATTTAAAATTTTCGACTTTCTCGCAATTGAATATTGAGAAACGATAATTCAATTTTTGACCAGCCTGTATAAGATTCTCTGATACAACAAATGACAATCTATTTGGCAGCATCTGTAGAGTAGTCGTGCCAATGCAGAGCTTTTTTGAATGATCGTTAGCTGAGATAAAGACCATGGTGAAATTTGTCAAAAAACACTTAAAATCAAAATAACTCGAAAACAAAAAACGCTAGGTACCAACAACTTTTATCAAAGTCAACCACGTCAACCAACGAACCAGTTACGTGAGACACCCTGTATATAAAGTTGGTTGATGTGTTATGGAAAATAAATGATGAATAGGAAAAAGTAAAAAAATTGATCCTGACTCTTCCGAATGTTGAACAAATTACAATTGTTTATTAATCAATGCTTGCAACGCATTATAAACGTGATGTGACGGAGGAGATATCCAATGAAGACTTGTGAAACAGAACAAACCAACACTCCATTAGTGACCAAATCAAAGAGAGGAAATTGCGTTAGACCGGCCACACACTTAGGAAGGGGGCAGTTGAGACGAGAGCCCCACGAAAGCTGTGAAAGACAACTGTTGAGCAAGAAGCAATGCAAGTCGGGAAAACATGAAGAGAAGTGAAACGCCTTGATGCATACCAGACCAGATGGAGAGCCCGTACTGTTGCCCTTTTATCCTCCAGGAGCGATGGGAAATAAATCAGAAAGTCAAGTCATATGTATAAATCACAGTGTAAAAGAAATTAGATACTGCAAAAAGGAAGGGCACCAATTGAAAGAGTATAATGAAAACGCATGAAAAGACAAAAAAAGTTCGATGATGATGAGAGAACTGGAGAAATGATCGATTTGGTTCCAGTATAGAAGGAATTCGAAACGTTTTAGAACAAAAGTTTTTGTATAAAAATTGTAGCAAACGTCATTGTCAACAATTTTGCTCTTTTACACTTTTGTGATAAGATGCAATGATATCGAGAAAAGTTCGAAAAGGTGAAAATTAGATGAAATCGTGGTTTTCCATCTTGCTGTTGGTATAGAAGGGATTCGGAACGTTTTAGAAAAAAGTTTTAGTATAAAAGTTGAAGCAAATTTTATTTTCCACAGTTTTGCTCTTTTATACTTTTGTGATGAAAAAATCCAATAAAATAAGAAAGTTGTAGAATGCCTAAACTCAATACTAGAATCAATACTGTGTTATGGAAGTAAAGGAAAGTATTGCCCGAGTATCAAAATTGGATAGAGTTAGAAACGATGCGATAAAAAAATAGGTTGGATGCGAAAATATCAATACTTGACAGAATAGAGAGGAATATTTTAATTTTTTTTGGTCACATAACGATGATGTGAGAAGTATAGATGGACTTCACCGGTGAAAAGAAGGAAGGGGAGACGATGGAGGTCATGGAATGGTGATTAAGAACAGCAATGGAGAAGGAGCACGAGAATACAGTATCTAGCTGTAATATAGTGCATTGTATATTACAATATCTAAGTACATGTGTAAGGATTATATACCCCAAAGAAATAGAAATATGTATTGCCATTTTAGGTTGTTTAAATACCCAGTAATAAAATTGTGCTATATGTTTCTTACTTGAATAAACCCATTAAACAACATGTTGTAGCATAAATAAAAAAAATTATAATTCATGAATGCCAGAATTTTAAATCATAATGTAATCATACACAGTTAGATTACGGTATGTTATTGTTAAAAGATGATACCAAGATATTGTTCATTATCGTATAACCGAAGACATTAAACTACTGTTTAATGTTTGCACGACCGTGTATAAGAACGACGGATATTGTGCAATTGGCTCGACTATTGGCAATCGTGCACGCTTGTCCAACGACACGTTTTATTTATTCGTTTATTATCGACCTCTACTTTTCCCGATGCATATTCATGCTTTAGCCGTTTTATCACGTCTGTAGTACGACAGCGTGAGTTCACTTTGACTCACATACAGAGATTTTGTCGTGAGATCGTTAGTACGAAACGTGCCTATTAAAGTTTTTGTTAACCAACTTTATTAAAAAGAAAAAAATTCATTAATACTACTAAGAATATTTAAAATTGGTAACAATGCTTTTGTAGTGTTGTTTGTGTTGTTATTTTTTAACTACCAAATAATATTTATCTCTTCAACTAATTTGTTAATAGCTTTTTAAACAGTGGTAAAAAGTAACAGGAATTATCTGTGTTTTTAGAATATTATAAGAATATTTACTTTATTAGGCTAAAAACGTAAACTAAAAATAGAAAAAATACTTAATGATAAAAACGATTCTTTTCAAAAAACCAGTTTTATTCCCATTAGAAACTATAAAATGCATGATATGAATCATCAAGAATTAATATGTGAATACCCGACCTGTTATGTATAGTAGATAATGGGTTTAAAAAAACGGTCTTTTATGCTTATTTATGAATAAATTGTAATGTGTGCTTTAGAAACGATTTCCTAGTAAACAATAATATAGTTTCTAATTGTACATAAATTATTCATTAAAATGTAAATGACAATTTTCGTTCTAAAGATTATATGTATACTTATTGCAACAGAATCTTATGAGATATAACCGACGTTCATTAAACGAGATACCTACAAATTATTGCTGCAGATTTGTTATTTAATGATATTAATATTTAATTATACGATTCAAAGCTTGTACAGGGTGTCCCGTTAAGCGTACGGAGCGGCTGTATCTCAATAACGGTAAGGCCTAGAGGTTTGGGAAAAAATCGTTATAAGCAAAGTGGGCAAGAGAAATAGCTGGAAATTATTTTGAAGTTCGTAATTCGACCGCTAGGGGGCGTAACTGCCATAGAGAAACATAAAATTCCTGCTATCTCAGAAAGTTAGACGATGAGCTATAACTTTGACAACATCATTTAGTAGCTTGGATAATACCGCATCGCCTTTGTTTTGCAATATTTTTCATATCTGTCATAATAAGGGAGGGGGAGGCCAATGCGTTTTCAAATGTTTACATTTTAATATCTCCTAGACCATTCAACCGATTTGAATATTTTTGGTCTTGTTTGAAAGAGCATTTCATGCTCTTTTAAAAGATATTTTCAGAAAGACCGCTTGGTTTAAAACAAATAAGCT